TTTTTAAGAATAACCACTGGTTTGACAATTTTTTCTGAAAAATTTTTATCAAAAAGTGAAAACCTACTTTTTTTTTTTTGGTGAGCCTCTTTTTGAGAACTGTTTCATAGTGTGAGGGGCTGGGCTGCTTTTACTAGTGAAATATTATTTTGTCATTATAGATTTAAGGAATGTACTTCTTTCCCAAAAAGACTTTTTCAAAAGACCCTTTTACTCCATAGACCTCCATTTTGTACCCGATAGACTTCCAACACAGTGCAAATTCAATGATGGGGTAAGTGGGCATGCCTACAATTTTATATAACTCCCTGATGGGGCTTCAGCATGGTGTGTCTATTCATGTACGAGATGTGGCCAGGTTTGTGTTTGTGTGTGTGATAATTAATTGGTTCCAGCTATATTTATGGCTGAAGGCCACACGGTTGATTAAAATGATCATATGGCAATCTAAGCTAATCACTGTTTGCACGGCTAAAATAACGGGGCCAGCAAGGTCACTGTCCAGTTATTCAGGTGATGTGCATGTAGATTCAGAATCCATTATTCCCACCCTGTCCCATTCTCTCTACTATAAACCCTTGGCAGAAAAAGGCCACTGCCTCTGTAACTTCCTATCAACTTATTCCAACTAGAAAGATCCTGTTCCCTGGAGGAGGCAGCCATGGGTTGACCAAAATGTTTGTTCACGGGTGAGCACTGTGCACAGACTCTGGTCATTCCATAATAGTCCTGAATGATTTTTAATGTCATTGACAACAAGTAAAGTTCTTAAGGCTAAAATGGCCATACAAATGGCCATACAGCTGGTCTAACACTTTTCCAGCAAGATAACATCTACATCACCCAGTGCAGTCAAAAACGTTCAGCTGAACACCAAACCAAACCAACCCGTTGCTGTCGAGTCGATTCCAACTTATAGTGACCCTAAAGGACAGAGGAGAACTGCCCCATAGGGTTTCCAAAGAGCGGCTGGTGGATTTGAACTGCTGACCTTTTTGGTTAGCAGCGAAATTCTTAACCACTGTGCCACCAGTGCTCCAAGTGAACACCAGAGAAGAAAATTCTAGAAGCTCTTAAGTAGGTACACTCATTGCCAAGTCCTGTGCTTGTCAAAGACTCCATAAACCAATTGAAAAGTAAGACAATGCAAATCCCATCACGGTGCCAACCACTCTAGTTGTCTTGGGCAAGTCACTTTATTTCTCTGGTCTTGGCTTTCTTGCCGAGGAATGATGGATAGCTACTTCACAGTGAGGATTTACTCGTGTAAGCAAAGTGCTCTGATGATAGGAAGCCAGACATACCGCAGAGCCTTTTTTTTTTTCTGCCCTGATATGCATTTGTTACGGGTTGGGCATCAGAAGTTCCTGATTCGTGCATTCGTCTGAGAATGTTAGCCGTGTAATGGTTTAAGCATTGCTGGGAGCAAAACGGAACCTTGAGGTGTGTTTATGGGTAATCAGCCAGTCTGGCATGCCATCAGTGGCTGAAACCCTACCTGTGGGGAAGCAGAAAGGTGTTATAGAAGTTAAGATCATGCAAGCAGAGGCAAGTTAGGGGAAGCATGTACTCAATACAGGAGTGCAGAGAATTGGCTTGCAGAAAACTGTTGCCTGGGGCTCTCAAATCCTAAGGAGTATTCTCACTGGTGTTTCTGGCGAAGTGTGTGTGCAAAGAGGGAGATGGAGAAAGCCTCTGTATTAGGGGCAGATAAACATTCTAAGGACCCAAGAATGTGAAGTCAACTGAGCCTATTTCAACCCAAACCTTCTGGGGCTTACACATTGTTAGTCTGTATTGTGGCTTCAGTCATTTGTCCCTTTAGAACAAGAACTTGCAAAGGTCTGACAAAGAGGAATGGATAAGTGCAGATTTCTGTTTTACCTTCTCATTCTCTGAGTCTCTACTGGGGGGCAGGAGGTGGGAGGCCAGATGCCATCTTAGGGAGTCATAAAAGCCACAAGGGATTTTCTAATGAAAAGCATAACCCAAAGATCCCTCTGTTCACTATAGCACCACAGCATTTGTCATTCAAAATCCAAGTGGCATGCAGTAGGACCTCCGTGGTTGTTAGCTGCCTTTGAGTGGTGACCCCATGTAGAACAGAATAGGACTGTTGTGATCCACTGGGTTTTCACTGGCTGATTTTCAGAAGTAGATTGCCAGGCCTTTCTTCCTAGTCTGTCTTAGTCTGGAAGCTCTGCTGAAACCTGTTCAGCATTCTAACAACACACAAGCCTCCACTGACAGATGGGTGGTGGCTGTGCTTGGGTGCAATGGTCCAGAATCAAACCCAGGTCTCCCGCATGGACCTGTGTAGGCATGCCTAAAGGTATAATAAAGGGATCCCAGCAAATGTTTGCAAGGTACACTCAGAAAGGTACAGAAACAACACCAGTAATAAGCAGAACCACTTGCCTCCTATACCTAGAGAGGCAACAAAACAAACACCACAAAGGTGTCGCAAAGTGTCATGCGAGATAGGCAGACATCTGGTTCAGAAGTCTACGGATCAGTCCCCATCTCTGAATGAGGCACTTGGTCTCTCTTCACTTTGTTGCTACTAGAATGGGTCTAAAAATATCTTTCTTCAGCTACTACAAAGGGTAACTGTGAGGGAAAATAAGATACTAGGTGCGAAACATATCATCGCTGTTGTCTAGAGGAAGTCATCTGTATAGGCTGTGTGTACGTCTGTGTGCAGGTGACAAAGAGAGCATTTATGAGGGAAGAATCCATGGGCCTGGAAGCTCAAGAGAGCACCTGAAATTCTGGACTTGATTTATGTCCCCATGAATTGTAGAACTGAGGGAAGGTTCTGGTGGAGCTTTCAGCAGAACCTCATGCTACGAAGATAGATAACCAGTAACATCTGACAATGTCACTTCCCCTTCCAACAGGATTCTTCTGGGACAAGGAAACCGCAAATCAAAACCAGTCCTACAGCTTCTGAGTCTCTAAGAAGGTCAGTCCGAGTTTGAGGTGAAAGTACCTCGTTGCAGGTAAGTACCTGTGTCCGACAGCCTGCACACCTAGCCCATATGCAGATTTACACTGTTTGGGAAGAGAAGCTGAGTTCAGTAAACACCCCCCACACTTCAGCTCCTTCCAGGCTATGGGCTCTGGCCCTTCTTCTCATCTGCATGGTTCAAATTAATTATACACTTTAATTTCATGAATTATTAATTTGATTCTGACTCGGCAGCTTATGATTATCCAGCGCTACAGACTATACAATTCCAGCTTCATTAAAACATCACCAGCTGCCTGAGAGACAGACATTAAATAGGGGAGAGCAATAATAAAATTAAGCTTCCGGCGCATAGCAACAGAGTCTACCTCAGCCCCAGGGCTGTGCTGCCGGGCTGGACAAGGCAGGAAGGAAAAGTCCTTTCAGACAAGTCCACGCCCCTTCTCAGAACGTGTTTCTTGGCCCTCCACCAGGCACACAACTTCAGATGGTCAGATGGCAGGGCGGCAGTACATATTCATCTGTCTATTTCCCCCTCTAACCCTTTGCATTTGACCATCACCCACACTCACTCAACATTAACTCTTTGATGGCTGCTAATGCTCCAAATACAATCAGGCTGGCCACCACTACCCAGGACTACCGTAGTACCAGCTTCTGGGGAGTGTCCACAATTGCTGCCAGCCCAGCACGCAGCGCAGAGTATGCGCCTCCAACGAATTAGCCCAAGAAACATCTTTTCACTGAGTCTTTCTTCCCTTTCTTTTGAGATTTGGTTTAAGAAAATGCAACATGGTGATCGGGAAGAGATTGGGTTTTAGTTGCAGCTTGAATTATTTCCAATACAGTTGGTTACTTCACCATTCAGAAATAACTATGCACAATGCCTAGCCTCGGGTCCCTGGTACATACTAAGTGCTATGTAAGTGAAAATTCCCTTACTCCCATTTTCACATGTATAAAGTTAGAAGATTGAGCTTATATTCTCCAAAGTTCCTTTCAGTGCTGACTTGTGTACCTTTGTGTGGAAGGTTCACTGTTCCTACGAAGCACATCATGAGCCTGAGCCTGATGATGGCTCCCTCCCCCAGAAATCCCCTGCTTCCTGTTAACAAAGAGGATTAGAAAACCAGGAGTCCCTGGGTAGTGCAAATGGTTAACACCCTCGCTGCTAACTGAAGCATTGGGGGTTTGAGTCCACCCTGGAAGAAAGGCCTGGTGATCTACCACCAAAAAATCCTCCACTGAAAATCCTACGGAGCACAGTTCTCCTTTGAAGCACATGGGGTCGCCATGAGTCGGAATTGACTCAATGGCAACTGGTTTGGTTTGGTATTAGCAAATCATGTATGTATAACTCAACAAGACCACTGCTATAGGGTTTAGCTGTCTCCTCCTGGAAAGTACTCTGGGCAATTGCTCCTTGAAAGGAAGTCCTCAGCAGACCTTCTCCATTCTTTGTGATGTCACACTCTTCTTCAAGTAATTCCAGAAATCACTGCGGCTGAAGCATGACTCCAGCTGAGGGCTGTATGACAGTACACAGCAGGGGAGGAAGATGACCAAAAGAAAGAAGAGAATTAAGAAATGGATTCCTAACAGGGTATGGAGAGAAAAAAGAAAAGGAAAGAGGGAGAGAGAAACAGTACCTTTATCCTCCTGACTTGTGTACACAAAGCCCAGTTAAGAATGAAGAATTCTCTGTGGATTAATACACTCCTTCAAATAAATAAAACCACAGCACTTCCTCCCAGCAACTCCATGGCAAAATAATTTGCAGAAGGAAAAGGCTGGAATTTAGACATTCCATTTAGCTGCTTCAGAAATCTAAGGACCCTGAACCTTGTGGGATTTGAAATCGATGGAATTAATTAAGGGAGATGTCCACCGCTCTCCACTAAGTAATCAGCAGGTACAGTAGACCTGAAAGTCTATAAAGAAAAATGGAACACGATGACATTGAGAGAGGCAGAAGGCATTAAAAAACGAGCATCCAAGTGGGAAAGGCGCATACCCATTGATCGCGGCATAAGAAATTAAGGCTTCGGTGAGCAGCAGGAAGATTCTGTAACAGAAAATGTTACAGAGCATGAGTATAAGCCCTGCAAGTATAGCCAGTGCAGGGACCACTCAGCAGGGAGATGGTCCCAGGGAAGGATACAAAATCTGGTTTAAAAGATGTTAGCATTGTATAGTATAATGTATCATCTTATACCATTTTATATGTATTGTCTCTTTTCTTCACTTGAATGGAAGCTCCATGAGGGCAAGGGTTTTGTCTGTTTTTTTTTCATTGTTGTTTTCCTAGTGCCTACAATAGAGCCTGTCAAAAAAAAAAAAAAAAAACTCAATAAATTTTTGTTGAATGAATGAATGAGGCATTTGAAGTGAATGTGCATCCCCTTCTAGTTCCTGAGCATCAACCCCATTTCCCTGGGGTGAGCCAGAGCCAGGTGGAGAAAGAGGGAACTCACAGGCAGGCTCTTAGTGAGAAACTACATAGCAAAGTTCAGTATTCACACCTGTGAAGCATGGGTAACCCTCCGATAACTCGATTTTTCATGCCAATAACAGAAAATGGGAAAGGGAGAATCCAGATCAATGTTTGTGAATGACACTCTCATGGCAGAGCGCTGTAGCTCAAAGAACTGTAGAGTTTTTGCTTTTTAAGTCCTTATCCTTCCTCCATTCTTTCCCCACCCTGTCGAGGAAGGAAAAATAAAATACACTGCTACCCAAGTTTACAGATGGAGTCACTGGGATTTGGAGCAGTGTCCTAAAGAGAATTCTGGCCACACTGAGACTCAAGTAGAATAATCCCAAATTCATACGTAACCAAGTCAAATGCCTGCTTCAGGGCCTGAGAGGGAGAAAGCAGTGAGTCAGTCTCCTGTTCCTCGGTGCTCAGCTGACCTTTCCACCACAAAGCAAAACTAGAAAAAGCACCTTGCATGACAAGGTCAAGAGGCAAGCTTCAGAAATGGGAGTGGACTGTTTCCCATGAACTCTCCGATGTGTACAGACTCTGGGGATTAGAAGAAACTTGAGGGACACCCACAGTTGCCTTCGCTCACTCAGTCATCTTCTCACTGGTTCAAGTAAATAGAATATGATGCCAACCAAAGACAGCCTGCCTTTTTTCCTTTGGGGAGAGAGGACTCCTCCTCTGCCCCAGAGGAATCTCCTGAAATTTGTTTTTGCTGCCCTGAAGGTACAGCCAATGTGTACATATATTAGGAAGGAAACCACAGAAACTCTAGGCTAACCACAGCCCCAGTACAGAGGAAGCACCTCCCTTGGACCACGGGTCACAAGGACAAGAACCTAACGTTCCACTGGACATCTCTGTTACCTTAATAGGCATCTCACCACCTCCTTGCCCAAACACAACTTGCCATCTACACTGAAAATGAGATGTCAGCAGGGCCTAGGAGTGGGGTACTCAAGGTCCAGTGATACTTCTCCATGTAAGCCCCCAGTTTGGGCCCATCCTTGAAATGCTCCTGTTTATGTCAGCAGATGTTAGCCTGAAAAGTAGCAGCTTTTGTGTCTGTGGCTTCTTCCAAATGAAGCCAGAAACCTCCAGGGCTCTCATACACATCATACAGTTCTAGCAGCAATGCTTCCTTTGTCGCTGGAACTATAATGTGGGGAGTGAAATGCTGACTTTCTTTGCAGAGTGCAAAAGGTCAGTCATAGGGTCAGAGTGTCCCCATCAGGATCCTGGGCACCATGGTGGTGGCTGCCCGTACAGTAAAAGATCCAGCAGGCTTTGCCATCTAGGAGCTTAGAATCAAGGCAGGGTGAAGTTTCCCCTGAGTCCAGATATCTGCAAAATTGCCTGTGGTCATTAGACTCACAGAACTATAAAAAATAAAAATAAAAAATACACAGCACAATGAAGGAAGGATTTTCTAAAGCAGAACACACAATCTTTCATCATTTCCCCGGATTCCACGACAGAAACACGGTGTTGGACCTGTCTGGACATGGGGACTTTCCAGTTTCCATGTGAGGCTGGGCATTTTGCATTCAATACAAATTAGTTCCTCAAAATCAGAACCAATTGTCATAAAATGTAGGGAAGTATTTTCCCAAGGGGCAAGCATTTGTGGTGAAACTGGAAATGTTCAACTTGATTATAATGCTTTACGAAAAGGTCAGCGTGAGATTTCAGAGCTTTACCTTGAGGATGTTAACTCTGTTTGCAAGCAGGAGGAAATGGGGAGAGTCAGTTTGCCCAGGCTTGCCCTGTCCACATCACTCTGATCACATGTCACAGGGCCAGCAGCAGATGGTGTGCCTCAGAACACAAGCGAACGCACGCATACACGTGCACACGTGCACACACTCACACACATGCAAACCCCACATGCTTCCTGGAGCCAAAACACCTCAAAATTCGATGACAGGTATAGTCTGCCATCGCTGGCATGCTCACTGAACAAGACCAAAAACAATGTTACGATACAATAATCCAAAGCAATGGATCTCAGTGCACTGGGGCATGGCCTATCATCACCTGGGGAGCTTTTCAAAAATACACGTCTTGGCCTCCCCGCTTTGAGAGATTCTAAAGTAGGACAGGTACAATTTTAAAAAGCACCCCGGATAATTCTAAAATGCTGTACACCTACTCCCTGGTCTCCTACGAATACTGCATTTACAACTCCAATTAAAACCCTAAAGCTTTCAAATATTCAGGCCAATAAGTGGCCACCACTTCCTGATGTACAAGTTCTGGTTATACATTCGTCACAGAATTTCATCATATTTGGAATCAAGATTCACAGTCTACATATCACCCTGGACATCAAGCCATTAGCTTCCCAACTCTCCCTATAACAGGATGAAGCACTACCTCAGATGCAAGCTTGAATGAGACCGGATAGAAAAATGTCTCATCATTGAGTCACTGGCTCCTGGGACAACACCCTGACCATTTATTCCCTCTTGCAGGCCAGCTTTTCTGTGTGCGGTTCCTTTTCAGCTCTTGGTAACCCCCTATCTTGTTCAGTTTATCAGATCTGACGGGGTCATCACCCGGGAGCAAGGCTGGGTAGTATTCTGAAACACTTTCGCCATCAACCAGAAGTTGTCATTTGGCCAGATCCTAAGGGTTAGCCCTTCCTCTTACAGCAAATCCAACTGCGATTCCACTTGGGGGAAGGGATTAACTGCAAAAACTGGGAAAACAGGACTACAATTTCAGTTTCAAAAGACTCAAACTATAACTTGCTTGAAAGACCCATTTTTATGCTTGAAACCTGAAATTCAGAAACAGATTTCTCTTTCAAAATCAGTCCCTGCCGTAAAGACAAGAATCTTTCAGTATCTCCACCATCTTTATATAATGTCTGGATGGTCAAAGCATTAAAAGCAAGACTGAGTGTCAGTCGACCTATAGCCGGGCAACTTCTGTCTTCAGACTTGATTTCACAAAGTCACGTAAGTGTGCTCTGCCCATCCCCAAAACCTGGGCAACTCTAGGTTTAGCTGCTCATGCGCTCCTAGGTCAATGCCAAATGAATACGCATCAGGTGATAATAATTAGCACAGCGAACCTGTGGAAATGTTTTAAAAGACTACATTTGTCACTCAAATCCTAAATGCTCCTGGTTGTCAAATATTCCTCTTAGACCCACACATATCAGGGTTAGTCTTACAGAAGCAGTGTCCAAAATGACTAAGGCCACCACATCCTGACCACTCAGAGTCATGCCCTCAGAGTTTCCAAATGTGATCCAAATGAGAGCTTCCAACTGGCAATAGACACTTTTCACCCAGGGCATGGTTGTCTTTCTGGTGGTTAGTGGCGACAAGATTCTTTTCAGAAAACAACCTGGAGTCTCCAAAATTGCCTTAAATATTCTAGAATGCCAATAACATGAGATTTCATTATATTTTACTGCATCTGGGCAAGCTTAGAGCCAAACAAGGTAAACACACTGTACTACCAACAAGCTCATATGAAACACAACTAGCATCTTCACTAAGGTATCCATAGCTTAGAGTCCCTGGGTGGTTGCAAATGGTTATTGCTGCTAACTGAAAGGTTGGAAGTTCAAATCCACCCAGAGGTGCCTCTGAAGAAAGTCCTGGTGATCTACTACTGAAAAATCAGCCATTGAAAACCCTATGGAGCATAGTTCTACTCCGACACAGATGGGGTCACCATGATCAGAGCCAACTCAACAGCAACTGCTATCCATAGCTCAGGAATCAGACAGATTTGGGTTTGACTCCCGACTGTAACTTAGAGCATGTGTGATTTTTGCAAGTTACTTAACTACTGTGAACCTCAGTTTCTGAATCTATACAAATGAGGCTAATATTATCTACCTCAATATTCTTTTGGGGATTAAATAAAACACCAAGTATGGCTTCCGACCCATAAGTGCTTAATAAAAAACTGCTAAACCATTAGAATAATTATGATTATTAATACAGATTAATCTTCTCTTTGAGGTTATCTAGGCACGATGTTATTGATGGAGGAAAACTGGATCCGAAGCTGGAGGTCTGAGAATATGAATTTCATTACTGCTCTGTAGGGTCACTATGAGTCAGAATCGACTTGATGGTACCCAACAACTGCAACCACGGTCTCCCCCTAGTGGGGACCCATTAACTTGTTTGTTTTTGAGTTCTTCCTCTCAGGTGATCAGCCAAGGCATACTTGTTTCCAGGCAGATCTGGATGAAATAAATGCTTCATTTTGTTCCGCTGTCAGAAACAAGGCCCTGGTCCACGTAGGGGATATGTCTAGAATGTGTTTGTCCTAACTTTCTGGAGCCAACACACATCATCTGCCCAAGTAGCTGGGATGCCGTACTCCCACCATCCCAGAGCTACTCAAAGGAACTCCCAGCTGCTGTTGGAAGTATTTTTAGCTGCATTATTTATTTGAACACCTGCCTGACAATCCTAGACAGAGCTTGGTCTAGAAGGGGAGGGGCCGATGGGACACCCAAGGATTCTTTCTTTCCCTGTGGGTTGCATTGGCTTGTCTGTATCCATCCTGTAGCCAAGAAGGGTTTTCCTCTTCACCAAGTCAGCTTCTGACCACATCGCACACCAGGCTGACAGTCTCCAAAGAAATGCTTCCAAGGTCACGCTCTCAAGGAACCCAAGAACCTTAACTCTAACGCCACGCTGATGGCTGTCGAAACGACAGCCTCTCACATTGGCAGCTATTTCATATTAGTCACCGTCAGCTGTCCTTCATGTGGTGGCAAAATGCTAACCAATATAATTTCCTTTATTTTTACCGCTAGGAAAACTGAAATACAAAGAGAACTGCTACAAAAATGGCATCCTCTT